TCCAAGACTGGTAGTTCGTCATCGCTGCAGGACATGGCACCGTGATGGCTCCCACTTGCTTCACTTTCCGGCCAATCGAAGATTCAATCATCGCGGCACCCGTGCACATGTAGTGCACGGGCATGCTATCCCACAATTGAAATGCAACCATGCTGGGGATGACCACTGAGCGAGATAACTTGAATAAGCCGCGAGCGACGCCTGCAGGTCGAGTCTTTCGGGTTTATTCACGGCATGAACATGCGGGTCGTGTTGGGCCGGGACGTCGACGCCAGAACACACTCGTCAAAGAAAAACACCTCTGGAAGCGACCATTCCACCAAGAATCGATCCTGGAGTTTGTCATCGATCGGTCACAGCTTCCAGAACTTGTCTTGGATCCGCGGGGCAGCATTGTCCACATAGTTTAGATCGCGCAGGATGTCTTGACATCGATTGCGCGCCATGAAGCACCCGAAGTTTCCGGCAGGATCCGTGCCGTCTTCCATCATCGCCCAGTGATCAGTGAAACGACTGTTTTGCGGGCATAGCATCCGCGCGATAAGTACGACAAGCGCGCGAAGGATGTCATGCGTTTTATATCTGCGCTTCATCTTCAGCCTCTGGCGGATCTGCTTGACGGATTCGACTCTTCCGTGCCTCCCTTCAACCCGCTGCTTCTCTTCAATTGCTTGTCCGTCGGTCGATTTGCTGGAGAGCGTAGAGGTTAGTCTGAGTGTTGATCAGGACCCACAATGACTTCGGCATAAAATAGAAAAACTTCTGGGGCCTACGTGCGCAACTCAGATACGGGCTGCGCCTTCTTGTTGTTCATGCCAGCGTACACGGTCACATTCGCCTTGAAGTTAGAGAACACGGCCGTCCACTGAGTAGCCCGTAGAGCTGTCTTTTGCTGCTTCTTTGCCGCCCCTCGCAGTGAGTTCTCTCCGATTCGATGAACGCCTCATCCATGTCAACTGCGTCACCCTTCGAGAGGACATCATCGTCATCGTCAATATCATTTTGCTCGGGTTCGTCATCGTTGTCACCCAGACCTTCACCCTTACCGGAGCTGAAACTCTTATAATCGCTCTCGTCCTTATCTTCCAAGACAAAGTTCACGTCATACTTGACACACGTGCGCTGGTGTAGCGTTTGGACGGGAGGGTCCGGCTCTCTCTGTTCCTCATCACTCCTTTCGGCCCCGCTTTCGAAGCCAGGTGCCTCCGACAGCAACTGTAGGTTCACCACCGCGTTAAACTGCGAAGCGTCGGGCTGGAAATCGCCCGGCAACAAGCTATACGAATGCTCGACCGCAGCTTGGGAAAGCTCTTCACCCGACGTGTTTGGTGAAAGAGCAACGGACGTGTCAATCTGCGACGCACCGAAACTTTCTGCAGGATCCCCAAAAGGAGCTGGTTGCGTCGCTTCCACCGTGCTGGTTGTCTGCACCTCCGCCGTAGTAGTCCCAGCCGACGCCACTGCCGTTGTAGCCCCAGCCGTCGTTGTAGTCCCAGCCGCTGCATTTTTTGCTTGTTCCTCGATCTGCACCCTCCTCAAGCACATCCAAAAGGCTTGCCTCCAACGCGTGCGCTACTTGCACGTTCTCGCCTGCGTACACACCAGTTCCATAGGGTTGACATACCTTCCCTCGCTAGCGAGTCCGCTCGGTCGCTTGTATGTCCAGCCCACTGCACGAAGCTGCCACCAGAAGTGTGGGAATTGGATGTCGCGGGCGACGACGGCGTGGGCGATCTTGAAGGTTGAGAGACCCAGACGCGTGAACGCAGGGAGATCATTCTAGTAGGATGTGCAACATCGTTAAAATCCTGTCCCCCAGTTTGCTGGGATGTTGGGGTGAGAGTGCAGAGAATCACTACTTGGCGTTGAACCGGCAGTGGAGCTCATCTTAGTCTGGGCACAACAGTATACTGAAGCCCGCGCGCGCATATTCGGACGCGCACCATCCAGCAGATTCTCGAATAAGTGGCTTCTGGCAACTGATCGCTTAAACCCTAACCCAACCTCATTTTTGACCTATCTTTCTTCTATCCGTTTGATTTTTCTCAAATGCCTGTTTGGTCTAATACTTTGTGTTTCACTTGAACAACGTATTGCAAATGCAACCCGAGCCAATCTCTATTGTTCCGTTTTCAATGTCGTAACTTACGACGTAACAAAATCGCTATGTCACAAGATACGACGTTGGGAACCAGGGGGTTAATGAGTGTATATTCTATTCGATTAACCACCCAATTCACATAGCTTCGACGAACCATATTTTTCAAATCTGCTCGACATGAACCCCTGTTTTCCTCGAAAAA